GGTCGGTGGCGGAACTGGAGCTGCTACGCTAGAGAAAGACTAAGCCAGGTCGTAAAGGAGATTGGTTTGGCCCTGGCGCTTGAGCGTGTCGTCGGGAATTGTCAGCAGTGAAGAGTGATGCTTTTGGGGACCTTGGCGACGAGGTGTATGAGCGAGGGAGGCGGGGCTGGAAGTGTGGAAGGTTGCGAGCAACAGGACGTCAGATCCTTTCCTGAAGGTTGCGGCGCCCAAACAAAAGTTAGGTCCGAAGGACGAAGTGAGGTTCGGAATGCTAGCGGCGCGACCAGTTTGCAACGGTGTTTAAAGGTCGATGGATATGATGTGTCGAGAGTCAGATGGCCAAGTTCATCTGGACGAGGTAGCTTGCGTAAGTACCCCAGGCTCCAACTGACGGTGGAGGTGCATGGATGTGGTTGGGGAAGAAGACGCCTCATCCACACCAAAACGGTTTAGTGAACCATTCACACTGTCCGTCTGCCGCCCGCCTGGTACAACAATCAGATGCCGCCTCCCTCCCTAGCTACCTACCTGAGTTATGAAGGTACCTGGCAGGTAGGTAAGCAGGCACTTCAGGAAGCTGGCACCTCAGGACGCAAGGAGCTCAAGCCACCCTGAGATCTCGTGACAGAACCGCCCGATCAATCAATGCACCAAACGAAACGCGCTCCCGAACCGAAAATACCCCGCACTTGACGCTTGCCTCTTTAGGGAACGACGACGAGGTAGCTGCGAAAGGTCAGTCATCTCGAGGATTAGAGGGTGGGACAGCGAAACAGGGGTCTCTTTGGTTGTGCCAGGCGCAGGTCTCCGTCTGCCCTCCTCCCTCTGCCCCTGAATTGGTCTCGCACAATCGAGGCAGGCCACACCGGATGAACGCCGATGCACATCAATAGACTGGGCCATGATGAAGATTGGAGACACGCCAAAGACTGTGCTGCCATGTTGACCATCAATCAGAATGCAGCATAAAGCGTGGTGCACTGCTCCCCTATGTGCGGTGTACTTGTAAGGCAGCGCCGGCTTGGTGTGTCGATGGTGGGGATTGGCCAGACCCTCCTGCCGTGACATTTCCTGTGAAATTGCTCTCTACGACTCCCGTCGGTCAACAACTAGCCGTCTGGTTCCCTTGCACCTGGCCCCAGACCTCACCACCAGGCTAACGGCCTCCCCCCCTGCCACACTGCACCCGTTTCCAAGGAGCCGTCTCGTGCCTCGACCCTACAACCCTTCAATCGCTACCACGTCAGGCAGTTGTCGCTCTTGTCCTCGATTTCACACCGACCTCTTCACCTACGTCGACGTGATTGCATCCCGAACCTTTTGCGCGCCCCTGAGCTTCACGACTCATCCCATCTATCTTCCTGCACCCGCGGATCGAATCGACAACTGAACCCATCACACCGCGATCATGTCGTCTCCCGCGGTACGTGGTCCTTTCCCTTTTGTCTCGGCGAGCGCACCACCGTCACTTGGGGGCCAGCAACCGCAATGCGTCCGAATCCTGCACCCCGATCTACGAGAGTCCTCTACTGACCCATGCTTGGGGTTAGAAGATGATGCGCCGAAAGAAGAATGTCAAGAAGGGCATCCAGTTTTGCCTGATGGTCTGTGGAGCCTCAGGTACTGGTATGTCAATTACGATTCCAAATGGCGCTGCATCGCGGCGCGTTGGGAAAATCACCGCCAGCTGACAACCCGGGAAACAGGCCGCACCACCTTCGTCAACACGCTGTGCGGCAAGAGCGTTCTAAATCACAAAGACTCCGACGACCCAAACGATGCTCACGTCGAGGAGGGCGTGAAGATCAAGCCCGTCACCGTTGGTTCGTCCCGCCATGGTCCGATCCTCCGACACCAAACGCTGACTTTTGCACAGAGCTCGAGCTGGATGAGGAGGGCACCCGCATCTCCCTCACCATCGTCGACACCCCCGGTTTCGGTGACCTCATCGATAACGAGGCTAGGTACGACAAGTCCATTGACAGACCACGGCTTTTGTGGCTGACGGCGCATCAACAGCTTCGCAGAAATTGTCGGTTATCTCGAGAGACAATACGACGACATCCTGGCCGAGGAGTCCCGAATCAAGCGTAACCCTCGTTTCAGGGACAACCGAGTTCACGCCATGCTCTATTTCATCACCCCAACCGGCCATGGTACGTCGTCGCGCGCTCGACAGATCGCGGTCCCCTGTTTTGACTAACGGTGCGTGTGTACAGCCTGCGAGAGCTTGACATTGAGCTGATGAA